TTAAAATACATAAGGTATTGGCGGTTTGTGAATAGATTATGTATGAGAGTTGAATGCATAATAGATTCTCTCTTTTATAAACTTTTTCTATAGTGGAAGTATGTTCTCATGCTTGAATAGAGAGTTGGGGTTCTAAGGTATATTTCAAAACGGGCCTTTGAATTGCATGACTCCGGGCCGTGTGGAGAGTTGACAATCCTCCATATCGTGGTTAAGGAAATGAATCGACTCGGCCTTTGATTGATTTTTTTCTATTTTTAAGTGCGTAAGTTACGTAATATATTGTCTACGTGCCTATTATACGTGTAATGTTTGACTTTTGTTTGTTCTATTTTTCATTTTGTTTCGGGTTCTTGGCGGTGTTTCTTGGGTTACTTTAGTTAGAGAAGTTGAATATCGTTAGAGCTTGTTTTCCCTCATTTTATCAAAAAACCAAAAAAATAAGAAAATACATAAAAACCAAAAATATTTACTTTTCATTCAACCACCCCCCCTTTTGTGTTGTGTTATAAGTTTTATTATAAGTTTTATACGTCTGATCATATGTGTAGTAGTTTGTTTTTTTTAGTGACAACGTGTTTGCATGCTAATTTGATTTCAAAAATACAAACTCTTCTCCGTGGGATCGACTCTTACTTGCCCTAGCTATAGTTTTTATTTGATTCTATTTTGGGGGTTAGCTAAGGTTATTTATAAATTTTTAATTTGTTTTGGACCGCACGACAAGTCCCCAACAGGAGTCAAGGAAGATATCATTGGGGGGCAAATATTTATTTAATAAACAAACAAAATACATAATAGTATAATAGTAAGTATCTTAATTGGCAAAGTGCAACTAAACATACCTTCTATTTGTGCAAAGGAGTAAGAGTTGTTTGAGGCCGTAGAAACTTTATCCGATGGATAATCATTAATTGGTTTTCGTAATCCCGGATCAGCAATAATATGATTATTTGAAACCACACTTTCTTTCTCTATAGAAGAAGAAGTTTCTTTTTCATTGTCTCTATCACTTACAAAATCTAAACTCTTCTTTTGTCTAAAAATTTATCCATTTCACGTCTCAAAATTTCCTCATTCATAATAAAGTAACAAAAATGAAATATCAATAACCTTAAAACAATAATTTCATATATCTTAATCTCTAGAACTTGAAATTACATTAACATTTATCAAATATTTAAATATCAACAAACACACTGCAACCACAGAACAAAATAAATATTCAAAATTCAAAACATAATTTAGCAATATTCAAAACCTTCAAATATTAAGAAACAAATCTCGAAATTGGATAATTAAAATTTACATATAATACCTAGAGAAGATTTGATGATTAGATGAAGAAGCACCGAAAAAGAGCTCAAGAATAGAATCTGCCTTCAGCCTTCTGGTTTTGACTTTCGATCCTTCAACAGCCTTCTGGAATCTGGTCTGGAGTTCTAGACTTCTGGTTTCGTTGCTTTCGTTGGAGTGGCGATTAATCCTTCGTTTTTTTATTTGTTGGATCCTCATGAGTCATGACCTCATCCTCTCATCCTTATTTTTTTGTTTTTTGGGCATTTGCTATTTGGAAATTTGGGCCACTGGGCCGCGTGGATTGTTGGGCTGAGTCAATGGGTTTTTTTTTAAACTCAATCACAAAACGACGTCGTTTCGTTTTCTAATTTTTTTTTTCTGGCATCAGACCTTCTTCTTCGATCGGGGGAAGCTGTGCAGGCATGGAGTTCTTCGCGGCGACAGATCTAGGGGGCAAATCTGGCCTCCCATCACCGATTGGGTACCCTAATCCCATTTCGCTAGAATTTCATCGGGGGGATCTTGCCCAGGAATGCCCCCCTCCTCCGCCCTTGACAACAACAACTTCACGCTCATCTATCAATTCTCTGAAGTCTTCATCACTGAACTCAGTGTTCTACTCATAATATTTAAAATCTACGTATTAAGCAGGCTCATAACAAATAATATTAAAATATGATCTTATTACCTCATCAAAATTGTCTAAAGTTGATTTGCAGTATTCCACAACATCATGGATGATTTTATTACTTATTTCCATCTCATCTTAATGGTCATCTTCATCTTCATCCTCCCTCTCACAAAATTCTTTGGCTTCCTGATCATTGGAACATGACGCTTAATAAAAAGGTTAAAGAAAATCGACAAATACAAGTCAACCTTTTAACAAAGATCGACCCACAAGTCGACCTCTAACCTGATCCACTGTCGACCATATATTCAGTGGATTCAGTGGTATCGTATCCATTTTTTCTTCCTCTATAACTTCCTGATAAATAGAAACATTATCATGCTTAAAATGGGAAAGGAATGCTCACAATGGCGTATAAAACAAAAAAAAGTATATAAAAAACATTAACAAATCTACACAGTTGTCGACTCATACCTGATCAAAGGTCGATCTCATGTCTAGTGGACTCTTATCCATGTTTCCTTCTGTTGGGATTTACCTCCTACATGGAGGAAGGAGTTCCTAAACAATATATTTGGTGTTAAAAATTTAATTTGTTTAGAGGTGGACTAATATAATAATAATATTATTATTATTATTTATTAGTATTATTATTATAGAAGAAAAAAAAAGAAAGGAAATGTCAAAGTGGGGGCTGCCACTTATCTTGAAAAGGCAGTAGCCTTTTTTTTGTGGCTGGTCACGGGCAGAAGAAAAGCCGCAGAAACAGAGGAAAATAGAGAGAGCCGAGAGAAGGAAGAAGAGAGAAAAAGAGAGGTGTAGCATGGTTTTGTGCTCCGATCGATGACCAAACGAGCTCCGATCGGGATGAAATTTTAGTATGTTTTTCCTCACATCCTCTTCTTCATATCCAACGGAGCGATTGTTGTTTTGACCTCTCGATGTCGGTAAAACTGCCTCTGTTTACTGCTGCATTTTTATTGGGGATTTCTCACTTTTGAGTGAAGATGATTGTTTTTTGGTGTTCCAAGTTACTACTTGATGATTGTGTATACCTCTAATTGATTTAGAGAGGATTCTTGGTCTACCCACTGATTTTCTTGGTGATTAGTGGAAGGCTTCGTAGTTTTCTCCCCGATTTGGGGTTTCCACGTTAAATCTTGGTGTTCGTTTATTGCTTGATTGATTGCTTGTTGTCGTGTTTGCTATTCTTGATCGTTCATATGATTTTGCCCATTTTGACAACACAAAGACGGGAAAATTATTAATTGCTTCCGCTAGAAAATTGAGGTGATTTTCCCAACAATTGGTATCAGAGCTTGAGTCATATTTGTGGGTGATTTTCTTGTGTTGTTAAAATGGAGGATAAAGCTATTTTTGGGGGAATGATTAAATTGAACTCCTCCAATTATCAAAGTTCGAAACCCAAGATGGAAGATATTTTATATATTAAGGATTTGCATGAACCAATCTTGAATAAGGAAATGCCAAGCGGTAAACAATAAGGTACTTGGAAATTGCTTAATCGGAAAACTGTGGGAATGATTAGGCAATTTATTGATGATAGTGTGTTTCACCATGTTGCTAATGATACCAACACCTATGAAGTGTGGGAGAAACTCAAATGCATGTATGAGAGAGAAAATGCCTTGAATAAAGCCTCTATTATGAGAAGACTTGTGAAACTGGATTACAGGGATGGGCATAGTGTGGTAGAGCATTTGAATGATTTTCAGGGATTGATTAACCAATTGTCTTCTATGAAATTGGTTTTAGATGATGAATTGCAGGCGTTGTTGCTCCTCAGCTCGTTGCCAGAAAGCTGGGAGACCTTGGTTGTATCACTTAGCAATTCTGCTCTAGAGGGTAAGCTCACAATGGATGTTGTGAAGTCGAGTCTGCTGAACGAAGAAGCTAGGAGAAGAGATATGAGTTCCTCCAGCTATTCAGATCAGGCTCATGTTGCTGAGGTAGAGGGTCGTGGAAGACACAGACATAGAGATTTTGAATCCAGGGGGAGATCTAAATCAAGAAGCGAAGTAAAATGCTTCTATTGTGATAAACCAGGCCGTAAGATATCTCAGTGCAGAAAGATGAAGCGAGATAAAGCCCAGCCGAAAGAGGAAAAGGGTCAGACTTCTGAGAAGAAAGAAGAGAAAGGCACAGCAGCCCTTGCAGATGCAGATGATTTATTCTTCGTGTGTGATGACACTAACTTTGATGTTGCTTTTCAGGACTGCACTTGGATTATTGATTCGGGTGCCTCATGTCATCTCACACCTCACTGGGAGTTCTTCTCATCTTACACTAGCGGTGACTTTGGCTATGTCAAGATGGGGAAGGGTGACAAATCATCTAAGATTGTTGGGATGGGCACTGTTTGTTTGAAGACTAACACTGGTTGTAGGTTGATCCTCAGAGATGTCAGACATGTTCCAGAGTTTCGGTTCAACCTCATTTCAGCTGGAGGACTTGACGGAGATGGTTATGTTAGCCGCTTTGGTGAAGGAAAGTGGAAGCTTACCAAAGGTTCTTTGGTCGTGGCCCGAGGTAAGATAGAAAACAGGATTTACGTGATGCAAGCAAAGATGTGCAGAGGAGATCAGAACACTGCGCCCTCCGCGGATTTATCGCACAAGAGGATTGATCACATGATTGAGAGTTGTCAGAGTATCCTCCCTGAAGGTGACATTCCTTTTCCTACCATTCAATCAGATCATGGGGGAGAAGATAGAGAGCGATGTTGTGGTGATGATGTTGATCGTGATGGTGATGTACTTGAGCCACCTCATATTGAGCATGGAGTTCTGCCACAGAGGGTTCCTCAAATTGGTAAATTTGAGAGAGTTTGCTACCGGGAAGAAGTGATGAAGGTGCACCCATGGTTTCAAGCCAAGCGAGATGGAGTTATATCCTTGCTTGATGGACGTGGTCATTCCCTGGTAAAGTTGCATGGAAGCAAGCGAGCACCCAAGAGCAATCGGGTGTTCAAGTTGAAGAGAAGAGAGCGTTGCTCACAACTTACGGACTTGGCGCAGTTGGTTGTGAAAGGTTTGTATGATATTTATCATCATTGAGTTTTACCCCCCGTGTAGGAGTGAGGGGGAGATTTGTTGGGGCTTCCCTCCTACATGGAGGAAGGAGTTCCTAAACAATATATTTGGTGTTAAAAATGTAATTTGTTTAGAGGTGGACTAATATAATAATAATAATAATAATAATATTTATTATTATTATTATTATAAAAGAAAAAAAAGAAAGGAAATGTCAAAGTGGGGGCTGCCACTTATCTTGAAAAGGCAGTAGCCTTTTTTTGTGGCTGGTCACGGGCAGAAGAAAAGCCGCAGAAACAGAGAGGAAAATAGAGAGAGCCGAGAGAAGGAAGAAGAGAGAAAAAGAGAGGCACAGCCTGGTTTTGTGCTCCGATCGACGACCAAACGAGCTCCGATCGGGATGAAATTTTATTATGTTTTTCCTCACATCCTCTTCTTCATATCCAACGGTGGGATTGTTGTTTTGACCTCTCGATGTCGGTAAAACTTCCTCACATCCTCTTCTCACTTTTGAGTGAAGATGATTGTTTTTTGGTGTTCCAAGTTATTACTTGATGATTGTGTATACCTCTAATTGATTTAGAGAGGATTCTTGGTCTACCCACTGATTTTCTTGGTGATTAGTGGAAGGCTTCGTGGTTTTCTCCCCGATTTGGGGTTTCCACGTTAAATCTTGGTGTTCGTTTATTGCTTGATTCATTGCTTGTTGTCGTGTTTGCTATTCTTAATCGTTCATATGATTTTCCCCATTTTGACAACACAAAGACGGGAAAATTATTAATTGCTTCCGCTAGAAAATTGAGGTGATTTTCCCAACATCTTCTTCTTTAACTTCCTCATATACTCCTGAGGGGTCGAATTTATTATCTCCCTCTAGCTCATCTTTTTCTTCCTTCACTCCCTCGTGCTTATCATCTTCTTCATTTATTCCCTCTTGCTCAGCATCACCATATTCCTTCCCCTCACCACCCTTCCTTTTATGGTCTCATGTAAGGTGTGGAGAATTTTTTTTCTAGTTTCTTAAACTCCCTCTCCATGACACTCTTCACTTCTCCATTCACTTCTCGACATAGCATTTCTTGAAGCTCAGGAAATTTCCCATTAATGTAATCTATCAGAGTAGCAAGGAAGTTTTCACTAGTTGTTCCACTAAGAGATGAAACGTTCCCATTGGTTCTGACAAATGGAGGGTTGTGCTTTTTGTGTGAGAAGGTTGAGGTGCTCGACCTTGAAAGTTTTTTCCTCCTAAAAACATAGTTTTTAGCCAGGGTATCTGACTCATGGCTCCGATGTTGAAGTCCTTCCTACAACATCTTCATCTTCACTTGCTGAAGGTGCATCTTTTTGCATGCATATTTGTAGGGGCTTGTCACCACTTTGGAGTTCCCTTACCAAAGCTCCAAGTGTTAAATTGGCAACTAGAGCTGGCAAATCGGTCGGTCAGGTCGGGTTCAAGTTCGGTCACTCAGAGTTCAGGTTATTTCGGGTTTGGGTCGACCCAATAGGTTATTACTTTGGTTTTTTAAATTTTTAAATTCACATTAGCACTTACATTTTCTATTAAATAAATTTAAAATATTAAAAAATATGCATTAAATCTATTAGATTGTTCTATTTTAAATCCTAAATTTTTTTTCCATATATAAATCAATATAAGGAATTTAAAAAATGCTTAAGTTTTAGAAAAAATAAGATAATTATGCAATATCATTAAAATTTTGTCTAAAAATATAAATTTATACATTAAAAACGTGTAGTAAAGTGTATGATTTTGAAAAAAATCTTACTTTAGCGGGTCGGTCACGTCGGGTTCGGGTTCGGTTGGGTTTGACACATTTTTAGCAGGTCATTTCAGCTTCGGTCAGCGTTGGGTTCGGTCATCAAAATCTTTGTTCAAAACCTAGCGTTTTCAGGTCGGGTTTCGGGTCAAAAAATGGTTGGGTCATTTTTTGCCAGGTGTATTGGCAACATATGCCAAGGGGGTCAAGCTGGTAATCCAAGGAGCATGTATTTCACTTCCCTCTGGAAGAAGAATACTTCTTACACTTTGCATGAGACAATTGCATGTGTTTGAAGTTAAAAACATATTAACATATAAAAGTCAAAAATATATTAAAAGGTCGACTAATCCAACTTCTACACTTGTAGTCGACTCTCAATATGCAGTCGACACGAAGAAATTAAACACGAACAAATGTAAATGTTATTCACCCACATAGTATTACTTACCTTGACATTATTAATTGCATTTTAAATCACAGAGTGTGACAGATTTTTTGAACATTTATTTCTCCAGAGGCACTTTCTTGGGAGTGCTTGATCTGTTTGCCCCCTCTTCACTCCAAATGTCTCTCCAAAATCAAGAACGCACTCAAATAACAGATACTGCATGCACCAATTTAAACAATGTAATTATGGAAAGTTTGAATGCCAATTAAAATTTAAATACTCACGGAGGGTGGGAGGACAAATCCCGTGTAGCGGAGGGTGTTAGATGTTTTGGCGCCTTTACCAAAGTTTT